TTTCCACAAGTCAGTTTGAAGTTTGTTTACGAGAGTCAAGTACATTTGATGGACCTCACAATAATATCATCGTGGTAAGAAATGCTTTTACCAAAATTTAAGTAATAAACATTTCACTTTTTATCGGGATTTAAATGTCATTGTCAGAGAAAACCGGGCAGTACCAAAAGATCGAGGTCGGCCGTTTACCTTCATCTTTTCACAGTATAAAAGCTATCCAAAAAGATTAACAACCATGATGTTTGCGGAGGTAGGCGTTCGTTTTTATTCGAAATATCACCACATCATGATTTTGGCCTCTCAAGCGGTCTAAAATGACCGACATTTAGGGCAACTTTAGATGAGCCTAAAAGATACCTCGTAAAAATTCCAGAAACTCTTATTTTCGTGCGATAATATTTGTCCCTTTGTTAGTTGGCTGAGATATACTAGAAGTCTTTCGCTTTGATTCTACTGTTTTCACGAGTTGCCAAATATCCTCGTCGAGTCGTTAATGAGCGTGACCCAAATTTTAGCCATTTTCAGCGAGTCGTTTTTCAAAAGTGGGGCAGTTTATTTCCACAGAAAAACATTATTGTAATAGTCTTTTGCAATGTTATTAATATCCAGTTTAGTTAAAATTGGTACCAACAGGCAATCGGAGTAATTGGTCTAGCAAAGTCCAAAAAAATCATTAGTCAGAAATATTTCTCGCCAAATGTTTAGCGAAGAACATCACCTTCTCCCGACTTTCTGCGATTTTTATCTACGATTTACTGAAAGATCAGCAAAAAATAGCTAGCTGGACTGTATAAGAGGATATTTAAGTTGTGGCATCGTGATAAGCCTATGCAAACATTTCAAACTTGCCCATCATTACGTTATCTAGGCTAAGTTTTCCCGCGAAAATTCTACTTTTAACGTCACGCTGCGCGAATGGAAAAATAAAGTGGATCCTCAGTTCGCTGGTCTTTTTCACTGTTGTGTAGAATAAATTGCAAGTCAAAAGTGAGCGAACCTTTATCCTAAATTTAATTTTGGGACTTCTGCAAAACCCTTGTTTACATCGATTTCTCGTTTTCGGAAGGCGTGACGCGTGAGAGATTCTAAGGTTGAACGACAGGACTTTAAAATGTCGATCTTACCTAAAGGTGTCTTCTTGGTTTTGAAAACATTAACTGGTCTTTCGGATCAGAAAATTGGCCTAGTATGCGGGTGGTGGGTCAGTTTTTCTTCAGCTATTAGCATGCAAACGAGTTGGTCGAGGAAAGAAGTAAGAAGTGGTGTTTACTCGGCACAGCCGAATGTAAACAACGAGGAAATACAGGTTATGACAAAATCCGGCCCACGAAAGAATCATAACGGACAGACGACTGGAATAAACATCTCAATACGTGTAATCGTTGCTAGGTCAGGATTGCCAGCGAAAATCTTTCTTGCGTTCATTGTTGCCGTTTGTATCATCGCAGGTTAGTACACCGTTTTGTTTTTCGCTCTGACACGTTACTTTCAACAAAAGTGATTTAATGTTGCTCCGGTCAATATCACCACAAAACCCCTTCAATGCAACGAAATTACATCCAACTGAATTAGTATTGATAATTTCTTGATAATTTTACTGCTGGTAAAGTTCATAAAGAACGAGATTACATGTTTCTGGTCCGGTAACGTGATTGAATTACATTTTGCACGCAACTGAGTTGCTGTGAAGATTAGTTTTTTCTTTTCTTTTTGTTTTTTGTTTTTTTTTTTTGACCTAGCAACGATTACACGAATTAAGATGTTTATTCCACTTGTTTGTCCTTTATGATCCTTTCGTGGGCCGGATTTTGTCATAACCTGTATTTCCTCGTTGTTTGCATTCTGCTGCGCCGAAGAGACACGACCACTGACATCTTTCCTCGACCATTTCGTTTGCACGCTAGTAATTGAAGAAAAACTGACTTGCCACCCGCAATGCTAGGCGACTTTTCTGATCCGAAAGAACAGTTGATGTTTTCAAAACAAAGGAGGAACCTTTAAGTAAGATCGACATTTCGAAGTCCTGTCTTCTAACCTTTGAATATGTAACGCGTGTAACTATGTAAACAAGTCCCAAATTTAAATTTAGGGTAAAGTTTCGTTCACTGTTAACTTGCAGTTTGCTCGACACAACTGCGAAGACCAGCAAACTGAGTATCCACTTTGTTTTTCCACGCAGCGTGACATTAAAATGGGATTTTCGCGGGAAAATTTAGCTTAGATAATGGTAAGTATTTGGCGAGTTTGAAGTGTTTAGTACATAGGCTAATAACGATGCCACAGCTTAAATATTCCCTTCTGAAGTCCAGCTAACTATCTTTTGCTGATCTTTCAGCGAATCATGGACAACAACCGCAGAAAGTCGGGAGAAGGTGATATTCTTCGCTAAACATTTGGCTTGAAATATTTCTGACTAATAATTTGTTTAGACTTTGCGAGACCAATTACTCCGATTTGCCTGTAGATACCAGTTCAATAACATTGCAAAAGACTGTCACAATAATGTTTTTCTGTGGAATTAAACTGCCGACTCGCTGAAAATGGCTAACATTTGGGTCACGCCCATTTACGATTCGGCGGCTATATTTGGCACCTCGTGAAAACCGTAGAATTAAAGCGAAAGACCTCACATATATCTCAGTCAACTAATAAAGGGACAAATATTATCGCACGAAAATAAGAGTTCCAGGCGCTTGTACGAAGTATCTTTTAAGCTCACCTAAAGTTGCCCGAAATTTCGGCTATGTTAGACTACTTGAGAGGCCAAATTCATGCATGATGTGGTGATATCTCGAAGAAAAACGAACACCTACCTCTGCAAATGCTCTGGTTGTTAATCTTTTCGGATAGCTTTTATACTGTGAAAAGATGAAGGTAAACGGCCGACCTCGATCATTTTGGTACTGCCCGGTTTTCTC